AAATGCTCACCACACCCTCCCACATTGTTGTGAACTCTAAAATCCAATTTTACCCTTGTTGTAAACCCTAAACACAATTTTCTTTTTTTCTTTTTTTATTTTCATTTTTATTGATACAAGCTATATTCAACTTTAATTTAATATAAACTACGAGAAGGGGAGATTCAAACTCGGATGCACATAGTGGGGAGCACATCTACTATGGCCGACTTGACTAAGCCCATATCTGCCTTCATTATTTTATATTTAGAGAAGAGAATGAAAAAAACTAAACCCTTAAGTGTCGCTTAAAAGAAAAAGAGAGATAAATGTCAATTAACACTAATAATTCCGCCATGTCCAGGATGTCCAATTTTTAACAAAGACCAGACTATTTATATGTTATCAATCTAATTTTTTAATTAAGATCGGACTATATTGATATGTCATCATATGTCGATGTAAACGAACAGTGCGGTCTTTAATTAAAGACAAAGAATTTTTGTCATAACTAAAGCTATAAATCGTCACTATTGCAACACAAATACCAAGATGAAAAGACATATTTATAAGATGACAACGACCATTGATAAGATTTGGATTACAATCTTATTGGAATCACACGTAGTGCTTAAAAGCTGTTTTTATTTTACTTATGTGGCTTTTCTAGCACATAGCCATCACTGAACCAGCTTTGAAATGAACTCGTCAATGTTTTTGTCTGAACTTCCACCTTCATCCGCTGCCTTTTTAGCCAACTCCTTCCATTTGAGGGCGTTGATTTTCATTTCTTTCCCTCTCTCTCCCTCCATTATTTCACTTATGCAATGTTCCACTACTTCTTCTCTCACCTTCCCTTTCTCATCAGATGGAGCTGTGATCCCTATTTTCCACACATCCATAATGAACTTGGCATTGGTTCTTTGGTCAGTCCATTGTGGCATTGCCAACATTGGAACCCCCAAACTCAAAGCCTCCAAAGTTGAGTTCCAACCACAATGTGTAACAAAGCATCCAACAGCCTCATGAACCAAAACCTCCAATTGGGAGCACCATGAGACCACCAAACCCTTCTCCGATGTTTCCTCGACGAACCCTTTTGGCACCTTAGCTGCTTCTGATGCTCTAACCACCCACAAGAAGTTACTTTTGCTCCTTCTCAAACCCCAAGCCAGCTCCTTCGTTTGCTCATCGTCAAGTTTCGCTGCGCTGCCAAAGGATACATAAGCAACAGACCCTTTTGGCCTTTCGTTTAGCCATTTGATGCAGGCATCATTGTCTGATTTAAAGAGGTTGACA